CGTTGCTGGGCACAGAGCTGACAAAACCTCACCCTAATCCACCCTTAGGTTGGACTCGATGATCTTGAGGTCTCTTCCAACCTAGACAATTCTGTGATTCTGTGATTAGGCAGCAAGGAGTGCGTTGGACCTACATCGACATTCAGACAAAGACGTTTGGGGAGATGGGCTCGTACAGCCTCTACAAACAAGCAAGGCTCCAGAAATGGGAAGAAATCTCCCTGGTGGGGAACAAAGGCAGAGGTTGGGCTCCGGCCGTGAGGCCCTCAGCACGTTACCACCAGCGGCAGGTGGTCACCACATGAGCAAGCGAAAACGTGCCTGTGAGCGGAGCGATGACAGGTCTATAGTCATGAGCAATTTTCTCTACGATGCACTTAGGCATCTGCTCCGGATTAACATTGTTTTGGTTGAAATGAGCGTTTTGGAGGCTTTTAAGCAGGTAAGTGGCTGCACCTAAGCAGAAGGAAGAGTCGTTAATAGGCAGACACGCAGGACTTGATGAGAGAGGTAACTTGGCCCCAGAGGTAACCAGCAGAGCACATCGTGGGCTATGCCAGGGGATGGGAGGAGCAGCAATGGCTCAGATAGCACGGGATAGGATCGCTGCAACAAAACGCCAAATAGTGAGGACTTGGGAGAGCTTTGAATAACTGAAATAAAGAGGATGACAGCTGTTGGCCTACTTCAGCTAAGAGCTGAAGCCCAGGCTTTACAGCTCAGAGCCCCACGTTCGTGGCAGGAGATGAGCACACGGATTTGGTCTCTGTAGCTAAAAGACTTCTGTCAATTCAGCCTGGCTGGGAAGGGGCCATGAGCCAGCACACCCAGGCCTTGCTTCCTTCAGTGTTCTGCACTAAGTTAAAGCCCTGTGAAAAATCCCAAAGCCTAAATTAATAACTACACCATTCTGATCCACATAATACTCAAATACAGCCAATAACTGGGCAGATGAATGAACAAGACACAGGTACGGGAGAGGACAGCTTCAAAGGCTGACTGGCAAGGTATCCACAAACACCTAATAAATATGACAAAAACCCCATTAGACTGAGAACAGCCAACCTGACCTTGAGGCCAGGGAAGCAGGAGGAAGCTGCTCACCCGGCTGATGAAGCAGGGATATAAAAGCAGGCCAGGCGCTTCCCAGAGCCAGCCCTAAACTGCAGCTGAGGTGGGGGCACAGCTCATCCCAAAAGACCAGCCTTGTTTCTTTGCAAGTGCCCGGAGCCAGAAGCAATTACAGGACTTTGTGGCCTAAAGCCATGGAGCAGAGGCATGGCCTGCTGACACAGCACTGCCGGTAGCACCAGGGGATGTGCCGGGCTCTGTGTGTACCACTGGGTCCCACAGCTATCACTGCACCCTTCAAAACCCAAATCTATAAGCACAGGTAGAGCCATAGCTGTCAGCAAACAGCACGCAGATCTCTCATAGCTCCCTGTCAGTCTCTTTATTTCCTCAGCATGAGCTGCAGGGCCTGAACTGCAGTCCCAGTCTGTTCTTTTTCAGAGGCCAGAGCTCAGGGATTTCACTTACTGGTTCTAGTTCAGGTTTTCCTCTCATTTCTTTAAAAGACTTAATTCCTTCAGTGCCTGAATTCCAGGATTTTAATACCTTTAGCTCCATTTCCCCCTTTCCTGCTCTGCATCTAATACTTCAGCCCATAAATCTCTGCAAGCATGCAGCACAAAAACAGATAAGGAAAGCTGTATAACCATAAAAAAACTTACTGCAAAGGACCAACGTAAAACCCACCCACTGAAAAGATTATAACCAACGGAAGAAGAAGAAGAGAAAGCCAGATTAAGTGTTCCCGTCAAAGTTCAGGCAAGCCTCAGAAAAGGTGTTGTATGATAGCTTAATTAAGCTTACAGTAGATCACAATCAGCAATGCATCATTCTGCTGATGGAAGAGCTCCAAGGGTAGATGAATAATGGCCAAGCTCAACACGGGATATTTTTTTTGCCAGCGTGGTTCTTCCAATTAATGGAGGTTCTCCAGTCTCCTCACTTCCTACAGGTCTGTACAGGGACAAGTGCTCAGAGGGGACCTGATGGACCCATCTCCTTTTTAGCTGGTCTTAAATGCTCATCCCCATCAACCAGTTCTCCAGTACGGTGTGCATGTGAAGCTTCACATGGCACTGCCTCCCACATCTGTGCAATGATGGCCACAATTAACGGTAATAACTATTTCACTCCATGGATTTAGCCCTTTTCCTTTGGGTAATTATGATCTTTCTTCCTCTCCCCAACCCTCATTTTAAATCCTCGTGGGTAACGGGCAGCCAGCTGATTCTACATTTATCTCGCTTCTATTTGTTTGACACATTTCAGGCAAGCGCTGCTGAAAAACACTACAAAGCCAAAAACTCCTGCTCATTAATAACACTCACATCACCTCCTTCTTTGCTCCTTTAACATGCTGCTTTTATTTGGTCTAATTGCAACTCTCAGCATGATTAATCACAACATTTTTGCGGGAAGCTGGGGAATTTGATATCCCTGTCCTCATATGGATCTGATCACATTCATGCTGAGAGTCCAGGCACGCTTCCTGCAATCTTAATGTAAAAGCTTAGTGTCAAATGATCCTCCTTGCCTAGTACACACTAATTACCCGCATTACTATATTCACCTAGGTCCCAAACACGGGCTGAAAATGGAAGCCAGATAATCTGGTTCAGCTTTGGGACAAAGCTCTTATGAGGGTTTATCTTCCTGTATGTAGGCTCTCCTTTTCTCAGTTTTACATCTGGACCAAAACCATTTACCAGACAAAGTTAGTAGCAATCTTAGAAGTTTGAAGAATTAAACTTATACCCAAGAAGGCGCGTAATCCAAGGGGCCAAGTCTCTTTGGAGAACTGCAGAAATTATAGCAGGCACTACAAAAAGTAAACTCAGAATTAATCTGCACTAAGTTACGTTTTTCAAATGTGGAAAGATAAGATCACCAAAGAAACCTCCTCTAAAGCAAGACTGATTATTGCAATAGTTGGAGTTTTAAATATATATACGTATATACACAGCCACACATTTGTTTTGTAGTGCTGCTACTGAAAAGTTCTTCAAGCACCAATCTTGGCGTATCACCTTTCCTATAGAAGGTAGTGACAAAGCTTCCCGGGATTTTAATGAAACATGAAGAGCATCAGTGTACACTTCTGAAACGCTGTCTGGAGGTCACACACATCAATATTTGAAGACAACACAGCCTCGCCTGAGCTTACCGCTGCACCGGTAGGAGCAGCACGACCGCCTTTGGCTTCTCCAGCTGGCTGGTGATGCTGCTTCCCACCCACTCCTCCCCTTCCAAGCCTCCCCAACCACAGAGGAGCTACAGGAAGAGCCCAGTTTGCTCCCAGGACTGGACCTTCCTGCCTCACTTACTCCCACGAAGGAAGACAGTCAGATGTTAAAACCACATGGACACCACCAAGCATCCCTTACCCCACTCTCTCCCAGGCTGCACATTCTCTGCACCATTTGCCTCACAAAGCCCTTTAATTAAACAGTGAAGGCCTACTGACTATCACCTAAATCAGAAAATACCTTTTGCAATAAGGGAACTAGGCTCCTACTCAGTCCTGGAGTTTCATCTTTTCCCTGACGATCTCCTACAAATGCTGTTCCCCATTAGAGCTTCTCTGGATGTCACCACTTCTGTGCTGAAGGGCTGAGAAAGCAGAGAGCCAAGGCTTGGCACGGCGTGGGAAGGGGCCGTTGGCCGGATGCAGAAATCAGGCTGTCAGCACCCATTCTCCCCAAGCCCATGATGCAGACCCATGCCTCTCCTCCCCAGGGCTCTGGGGAACATTCGTGGCACAGAGGGGCTGCATCTGGGTGAGAAACATTCGTGGGATGCTCACGCTGCACTGCGGACAGGCACGGAGCACAGAGCTGTTACTGCTCCTAAACCCTCTGGTTGTATGATAAAAATTTCGTGCTCACAGGCCTGCCATTCTTTGTAGCCCTGAGAACAGGCTGCACACACAATAGCGTCTTCAGATTTAAGGCATTTACTGAGTTTCTCCCCAAATAAAATGAAAACGCAGGCTCTGAGAGCCCTGCAGAGCACCAGGTCCCCCTGCCAAAACCGACACCTCGTGCAGCCGGTCGCCACGCCAATGCCTTTTCCAGGTGCCCAGCTCCCAGAGCACAAACCACCAACACCGGAGCACAATTTGACTCTAAGTCCTTAAAAACCAGGGCTGCTCAGAAATCACATCGTTTTGTTTGTGTGCTTGGGTTCTTTCAGGTAAAGAGGCTTTTCTCGTCTGTGTATATATGAAAAACCTGACGTCACCAATGGTTTTCTAAAATGCTACAGCTGAAACACATCTAAGGAGACTCCAGGAACCATCCTGCCCTGGATAAATACCGGGGCGGGTGTAGATATGGATTTCTGAGAGGATATCCTCATGAGTGATAGCACAGACTGTGCACCACATTTAGCCTTCTTTCCCTCAGGTCAGCATAAAGAGAACCCAAACCAAACCAAAGCCCTCTCACACCCTTCCTCCCCAGCAGCACCCAGCCTGCAGGGCCTCTGGCAGGTTTCGGATGAAAGCCCACGAGCAGCACCCACGTTGCCCACAGCCACGCACCGCCTCCAGGCCAAGGAGCACCAGATGAGGCCACCCACTAGTGGAAAGGATGCTGAGCAAGGGACAATCTGCAAAGGGAGCAGTCCCTCCTAGCACACCCCGAGAGGAAATGGGCTGTTATTGCCTGTCCTGACACACTGCAAGGATTCTCTGATGTATTTTTTTGTGAAGTGCAGTCACACAGGTTGTGTTTGTCACAGGCAGGAAGATGAGAAGAAGCGCCCGACATAACAGGGATGCTCAAACCAAACCTTTCTGATTTTTCTGCACAGATCACAGCAAAACACAGCTTACACCAGCTGGGAGGCTGTCCCAGCACATCCACCTCAGCCCCGCAGGAGCTGGTGGTGCCTGCATCCATCCCGGCGCGCTGCGGGCAGTGACCCACCTGGGTGCTCTCCTCTGCTGTCAAGTTCAAAGGAAGTTTTGTCTCCTCCACTGATGAGCACATCAAGCAGTCACTTCTGTGTGGGCTTCCAGTGTTATCAGCAGCCTGTTCCCCAGAAAAAAAAAGAAAAAAAAAAAGAAAAAAAACATCAGCGAACTATGATCTGTTTGTTCTCTGTTCCCCCTAAAATATTAACAAGACATTGACATAGTGGAGTGCTTGCTGCACAAAACCTGCTGCGACTGGGGATAACCGGGACATTACAAAGGGCCATGAATCAACTCGGCTGCGCAGGCTTCAGGTCCTTCTGCTGGGCACGAGTGAAATATGCTCCCTTACAACCCAGTGACCACTTCGGTATTTCTACCAGTTACCTCAGGAACATTTATTAGATTAGGAGAAGGTTTTTATTTATGGACTCTGAAACTTTGCTGTTTCCCAGAAAAGAAGGCAGTGCCTGTTTAATGTTCCTTTTGTTCTTCTGGACATTTGCATTTATTTATTTTGATTCATTGCTGCACTGGTAACAGGCTCCAAGTACCTGCAGTTTTACATACACTCACAGCACACACATCTCAGACACTTAAAATCTCTTCCCTCTAATGGTCTCCCAAGAGCCAGGATATCTTCATTCCCGTGTGAAACCCAGACGTTCTAGGATCAGAACTGCTTACACACAACAGCTAACACTAAGCTTTCAAAACCGCTCACGCAACCCCATGCAAGCATGCTTCATACTTTGGCACGTTTATGGGAAAGTCAAAGCTTGTTACAATTGATTTATTTACCATAAGGCTTCATAGATAGGGCCAGTTTCTCCAGTGCCTTACCCTAGGGCATTATTCCCCCCCTGGAATAAGCCAAGCCTGTTCAGAACTGGCCTTGCTGGAGGAAAATTTCATGTTTGTCCTCCCTTTGGCAGGACTGAAACACTGCCCACATGTCTCCGAGTTATTTAAGTTTAGGACAGAAAGCAGAAAAGCTTCGCCTATACCCAAGCCCTCAGATTTGCACGTGAGTTTTAGATTAAACAATTTGTTTAATGCAAAGCAAAGGGTAAGCTCCAGCCTGGGGATCGGGGCAAGCTGAGAGCCCGCGATGCGTGCCAGAAACACAGCCAACCTGCAGCCAGGTTCCAGCAGAAACCAGGCGTGAAGAGCAGCTCCACCCCCAGCTGCTGGATTCCAGCTTTTGTTGGACTCGGATGGACACAACACAACTCCGAGCAGAAGCTGCCAGCCCCACGAGGCTCTGTATCGTGTACCCTTAACACCTGTTCAATGGAAACCCCGCTTGCCTGCGTCATCTGCTCTGATTTTTGGGGACACTTCTCAGGTGCCATCCCCGTGGGAAGGCACTGCACTTATTGAAATGGATATTTTAAATTTCCTGTGGGTTTTTCATGTCTCTCAGAGCAGATCTGGAACCACATAATACACCAAGGCGACGCAGCTGTGACACGGCGTGGTTTGCACGTTTCGGTGGAATTCGGGTACGGCCTCTGGTGAGCCTCAAGTTCATCACCGTGACCAATGGATTTGGAGCCGCTCAGCACAACAGTTGGGAAATCGATATATTGGGCTGGCTTTGGGGGGTTTTCTCCCCAGCACAACTTGCTGGAGCTGAGTGGCTGCCAGGACAGCAGCCGCAAGGAACGGGCCCCATGCAGCAGGGGCATTAAAGGATGGGAGCGACACCAGCAGAGGCGCGTTGAGCCTTCACAGGCAAAACACATCTCCCACTTCTCAGGCTTCCTGCAAAGCTCTTCCTATCTCAGCTGCCACACCGGGCACCCAGCAGGGCACCTGCTGCAAACAAAGTCCTCCTTCGCTGTGATGATACCAGCCTTGCTTTTGCAGACTCCAAATCCTGCTTTTGAAGCCAGCAAGGGAAGAAGACATGAAGATACAATCCCAGCTACTGCTCTACCATCATCCCATTCTCCCCAGCTTATCACGTTTTGCATATGTGAAGAACTACAAGCAGAACATCTCTGAAAGCAGACAGACACCAGACCAGGCTGCAGCCCCTCAAAACCAGCAGCCGAGGCCAGCAGAGTTAGCTCAGTCAGCAGCAAGCTTTTATCCATGCAAAACGAAAAGCAGAGGGAGCTTAGGACCACTTTGAACTTGCTCAGTGCCCAAAAAACAGAGGCTGAGGAGCTTTAGCTCTGCTGTGACCGATGAGGGCTTCAGGAGGGGTGTGCAGCCCCCCGAAATTGCAGCTGCTCCTTAAGCATCACCTGAGCAGGAACCTCAGCACCATCTGTCTGGCAAAGCCACATGCTGAAGTCACCAAACTGGCATACTCCACTTGGAAAAAGGAAAATATCCCCTAACACAAACACAAAGCATCTGCTTTTGAACCTATTTAAAAGAGGAGTAACTTGTACAACGTAAATAACGTGGCTTTAGACAAAGACCTGCGTGGGGAAGGATGAGACCGAGGTTGTCTGAGATGCAGGTGGGGAAGGAGAGTGCCTGGAAATGAGCTGTTCTCCATGCTCAACATTTCTCCAATCATTTTCATATTAGCATATCTCTAAGTGCATATAATTTTCACATCAAAGAGTAATTTTTTAGGTATTTAAAAAAACAACAAAAAACTAGGATTGAAGTAGAGAATAATTTCTTTGCTGAAATCTTTCAAGCAGCTCCTCTCCATGGCATGACAGAAAAATTACAGAGGAGACAGGCGTTTAAAAAAAACCTCTTCCCTAGAATTCAGATTATTCTTGAAGCACAAGGTAAAAAAAGGCTCAGCCAAACTGCAACAGAAAATAAGAAAGCCCCGAGTGCAGTCTGTGCTTCGGGTTTAGCCTGGAACACGAACATCGTGGTGGTGGCACAGGGCTGGTCCCTGCAAGCTCAGGGACACGGTGTAGGGGGAGCACCAACATCCCTGCAGCTTAACTCAGGAGCACCCTGCACCCTCTGCCCCTTGCTTGGGGGCTAAAATAATCAACAATTAAGGTGGGGAGGAGGAACCGGGGATGAGCCTGAGCCCTTCTGGTCTCCATCCCACCAGCCCTTCCAACACCAGCAGTAGGAATTAGCTCCCATACAATACCCAATGCTTCTCTCCAGCCCCAGACGTGTCCCTGCAGGGGCTGCTTGCTCCCCCACACTCCCAAAATGTCTGGCGAGGCTGGCCCTTGGTGCTCCGGTCCGGCTGTCTCAGAAACCAGGCTCAGGCAGGAGCTCCCCTTTAATGAGCTTTTATTAAAAGACTCTGTTACAAATAGCCACTTAAGCAAGTGAACCTTTGGAGCCTTTAGTCCATGATGTCAGTGCTGTGGCTGGATGTTTCCCGGGAGTATTAAACCTGATGCTAATATAGGTCTGTGCTGTATGACAGCTATAAAACTCCTGAAGCATACCAGGCAGGAGGCCAGCGTGGCTTTCTGGTGCCTGTCAGGGCTTGGCTAAAGATCTCATGCACCAAGGCAGCGGCAAGCAGGGCTCTAGGCAGGGACCCAGCTCTTGCTCACCTCCGTTGTGAGGCTGGAGAATCCCCCAGGCTCCACATCCCTCTCCAGGTGATATCTCGGGGTGATATTTCCCACCTCCGAGCCCCACATGAGCATCTCTACCTCCACGTTATAACACACCGCCTTCTCCCCATGTCCTGATGGTCACAGACAGAGGAACACCCATCATCTCTAAGCCAAGCAGCCTCATGGGCACATCCAAAAGCCCTCATTTCTCCAAGCCTGGCTGCTTGGTGTGCCCTCCCCAGCTCTCTGCGCAAACTCCCAGGCCACTGCCACAACCCACCTCGCTGCCATGAGAATCACACCTGAGATGCACGAGGAACACGAGCAATGTTTGCCACCAGTAACCAGTACCAAAACCAACAGCAGAACTGGCTCGACCCACCTGCCCGCTGGGAAACCAGACGCAGAGGGCACGACCACACGCATTAATCATGTAATAACCGGCAGCTTTCCACCAATAGGTGGCACCAGCAATTTTTGGATGGGCTGCAACATGGTGCTCGTGGTCCCCTTCCACCAGGCACCCAGCCCAGCGGCGATAATGGGAGGATGGGTGGGCCATCCGCAGCACCCAACCCCTCTTTCTGCTTGAGTCAGGGAGAGGTGCAGAGCCTCACAAGCCTATCTTTCTTCCCCACACACTTATTTTAAGGAGTACATCTCACATGAGTGCGTCTTTCAGGGAACAGAAGTCTGGATGCAAACAGATCAGAAAATTTTGTTTAAAATGGAGGCACAGCCTGAGCCTTGGTGGAAGGGAAACAGCAATGGTGCTGTTAGCACAGCAAAAGCCAACGCTTCTTGTAACTGTGTGCTGCGGCCACACATGGAAAAATGTCCTAAGTTATAGTCTAATGTAGCTTAAATACACGTGGTGTAAATGCATTACCTTGATTAGAGAGTCCAACAGAAGGAAACATCAAGACACGTGCCCAGGACACACGTGCTCCATCCTTGCACACAAAATAAAGGAGAAGCCACCCAGCCTGGCCAAACTGAGCTGGCAGCTCCAGGGGCCTGATGCTGCAATGGGGAAAAAACAGCCCCAAAAGCAACCTCCGACCAGCAGCCCCCAGCAGACTACAGGTGCGTGGTATCTAATGACTTCAGCTTACAACGCCACGCAGCTGAATCCTGCCTGTATAAATTATTAAAGAGTCTGCAGAACATTACACAGTTCATGTAGTTAATGATTATAGTTCAGCGTCTAGGTCAGATATAATTAGATGTTACATTAAAATAGCTTCACAGAGCCATTTATTCTGATTTAATTACTTAAAATGATAGTATAATGAGCAGTGCTTTCAAAGAAAAAAAAAAAGAAATCTTTTAATGAGCTCATTTTAAGTTAATATAAGGCAAATTAATCATTTAGCAAAATGTAGTAAAAAAGACAAGTTCATATTTTAAAAAATGTTGTTCCTGCGTCAAAGAGGTTATTTTGATGGCATGCTGGGAAAAACACACAAACGGGTGGTGCTTGAGACAAAGCTGTACGTCGTACATCTGGAACATCTTTACAACATGTTTTCTTCCTTCCCCAGATATCCCTGCTATGTCAAAGTCCTTTGAAATACAACCTGAGCTGCAGATTTACGACCATCAAACTGCATCTTTATTCCAATGTGAAACAGAGCAAGAGCCGTGCAGAGCAGCTATCTGGAGGAGGTGAGCTTGTGATGAAGGGTTAATCACGAGGTGGTTCATTAATCATTCAATTGCTGGCTTGGAAAATTAGCTTTCACTTGTTTGTTTGCTCAAGAAGTGATAAGCCCGTTCCCTTGCTAGCTCATCTATTTTCTTCCCTTTGCATTGTTTTTAGTGATTTTAATCCTTTCCCATTTTTGTAATCAGTCATTTCATTTTTTTAGCAGGATGAGGGAGCAGCAATGAGGAGCATGAAAGCAGCAGCCTTCTGCAGGAGGGCAGCAGGCTCTGGACTGCACCATGGCAGAGGGCAGCCCCGTCCCCCTCCCACAGCCCCCACACCGTGTCCTGAGCCAGGACTGCCCTGCTCCTGCTGTGAGCACAGCTCCCTGCACTTGCACGTTTGAATAAACAACTATATTGGGTTAAAAAGTGACCAGAAACATGCTGGTGGGGTCATACTCCAGCCGCCACCACTTGCCCTCCTCCATCCCCACCTGAAACCGCAGCCCCGCTGATGGCAGCTCGGGTCCTCAAGGGGAGCCCTGACCTCTCGTCCACCCAGCTGAGCCTAATGAGATCCAGCTACTACACGAAACAGCAAATTAGCTCTTTTCCCACTGCCCAGACCACTTGATTCTCAGTTGCAGAGAGGCAGGAGCAGTCCCTGGTCCTCGCAGGGCTGGGCTCAGCACCACGCAGCATCGCTGAGCTCTGTGGATGGAGCTGGAGCTGCCGTGCTGCCTGCAAGCCACGTGTGAGCCAACCCTTCCCTCCTCAGGTCGAGTTAGAACAAGACCAGATTGCTCCCAGTAAAGCAATCAGCCCAGACCGCCTTCACAAAGCCCACAGACGTTTTGCACTCGTTCTTTTTGCAAAGAAACTAAGCTAGAAATTAAAGACATCAGAATTTCTTCTCCGATAGAAATTAGAGAGCTCTTCGGGGGGGACGGAGGGGGGTCTTACTCCCCACCCAGACTTTTTTCTCTGTATCAGCAACAACTCAAGCCCCCCCCTCAATAAGATGTTTGCAAACATTGCTGTTGGGTTGCCTGCAGGATGAGTGGTCTGAGCTCAGACATTTTCTGGATACCTTGGCAAAACACACGAGCAGAGGCTGACTGCAAAGCAGCAACCGCGCTGCTCCCGCTAGGAACATAAATAATTTGGGACTACACATTTCTTTCTTAATGCACAGCCTCTGTTCCCAATTAGGGAAGGCCAATGGCTGTCAAAGGCTTTCCCTCCCCAACAGCAGGGACGGGGGCAGCAGTTTGGTGACAGCACCGCGGGGCTCATCTCATGCACAGGTGTTGGCAGCGCTCGGACATGCCAACCCACCCATTTCCCATCCTGTCCCTCTCAATTATTGTGGTTTAGGTACAGCAGAACTAGGATACCTCTCTCCCATTGCTTTTTTTTGGTTTACTTTTGGTTTTTGACCCCCTACCCAGCAGCACACCCTGATGCTGCCCTGGCACCGTGTCCACGGCACTGCAGCGGCACCGACCAGCACAGGAAAGGTGCCGCAGGGCTGCACACCGAGCCTAACCACATCTCCAAACAGCACCACTTCCCCTTCTGGGGGCTAAAACCTGGATTTCTGAGAAAAAATGCAACATTTCAGAGCAGCAAGAATCAAGTAATGCAGCCATTAATAAGGATTTCCAGACAAATCTGACTGGAGAGATAATGGGCTTAAACAAGTAGAAAAAAAAAAAAAAAACAGTTTCTGCACCAGAATATTTTTCTTGTTGTATTCACTGTAATTATTTTCTAAACGTAGATCATTTTATATGATGCAGGCAGCAGTGTTCCAGAGCTAATCAGGCCATATGTTTTCACATTTTGAAAGGAAAACTAATTAAAAAGAAATGAAAAAGGTTGGTAAGGAGGGCTGTAGGTTTGGGTCAGAGAGGAGCGGTGAAGGAATCCTTCAGGAATGTATACATTCACTCTGCTCTGCGTTTTGTTTTCAGAATTGTTTCTGGCAGAAACCTAAAGAAAAATATGAACCAGATGTACAAGGAAATAGTTTCTTCATCAGAGAGAAGAATAGTGCTCTGTCTGCCAGGAGATTTTGGCCTTTACATTTTAGGAAGGTGATGTTAAAAATACCCTTCGAAGGTGGCTTCTCCTTCGGCAGAGCCCAGGACGTCCCAGCCAGGGAGGATGAGCAGCAGCTGGGAGGGACGGAGGGCTGCAGGGGGCACGGACAGCTGAGTGATTTCTCTTCCATCGCCTCATCTCCTCCATCTGCCACCAACCTGAGGACACCGCTCCTCTCCCACCCACTCCAGGGACGCTGGTGCTGGCAGCTGCTCCACACCCTGATGGATAACCAGGGGCCCTGTGTGCCCACACCACAACCAGGGGCCCCGTGTGCCCACACCGCACAAGGTGACAGCACAAATCATCTCTCTGCTGCCAGAGATCTTCCCCCACTGCCGTGCCACAAGAGGAAAGTACCCGGAAAGGAGCCGGTGTGCTCATCACAGCGAGGAGCCCAGTCCCCAAGGAGGGGAGGAACTGAAGACAGAGGGGTGGGGAGAGGAAAAATATACATATATATTATATACATATGCATTCCCTCTGCTCCAAAATGCTGCCTTCTGATGGAAGCAGCAGCAGACAAGGGAGCAGGTGCTGTGGTGCTGCCGTACCCCATCCCGGGATGGGGGCACCCCACAGGAACCGACCCACGGACCCCAAGCCCCTGCAGAGGTCAATGGCTGGGAATGGGCAGCTTAAGTGGGAGTTAATTAGGACTGGAAGAGAGCAAGGGAGAGCGAGCAGGGAACTTTAATCTCATTAAATACACCTCGAGGCTCCAAGTGGCTGTACCTGGTTGTCAGTAGTTTGGCCAAGAGGAGCCCCTCTCACCCTTAGCCTCGCTCCAGCCTCCCCCCAGCAGGGGCGAGCCTCATGGGGTGGTTTCCTCATCTATTTGGGGTGGTCAGAAGCCTTCCTGAGCCCTCCCAACCTGCCCAAGCTCTCCCCTTGCCAGTCACACTTTGATCCCATGCAGTGAGCAGGGTCTGCCTGCCCCCAGCCAGCAATGCCCATCAGCCTCCTTACTCACCGAGGACTTTTTCCCCCTTCCTTCCCCCAAAAAAACCCTCCATTTGGCTGCCTGAGGTGTTTTCCCTCTGTAGCAGTACACACAGGCTCCACGATCAATTTGAAAAGGGAAAAAAAGAAAAGAAAAAAAAAAAAGATGAGTCACGCGTGCGGGTGATGTCTTTATCTCTTGAAACTGGGGATTTTGGGGGGAATGCATCAGCTCAGATTAGCAGCATCTCTGGTGAGGATTTCCCAGAGCCGTCATGAAGTGGTGGCTCAGAGCAGAGCTGCTGAGATGCCCAAAGACCTGTCACTGCTCAGATGCTCACCCTCACCCCGGCTCTGGTCTCAGCTCTCCCACCACAGCACCTCTGCTTCTGCGCCTGGTTGCTGTCTGGAGGAGATGGGTCTCTGCTTCTCAACAGTTTTTATTAAAAAAATAATAATAATAAATCCTAAGCTTTCAAACTTTAAGGTAAGAAAAAAAGCCCTCACTACAGTAGTATTACCAAGTCTTTGTTTTCTGGCCAGCTCTACTTAAAAACAAACAAATGCTGCAAGCTCTGAGGTTGGCTCGGCGTATTTGCTTTGTCCTCGTAAGTCACGGCACCAGCTAACACTAAAGGCACGAAGTTCAGCTTTCTGCACTGAACAAAAAGACAGCTTCATCTGTATGACAGCCAGCAGCGTCAGCTTCCCAGGTCTATCACAACTCCCCATAAATTTAAAAAGCTTTGCTATATTTCATGAAGCATCTCAAGCAGCGCAGATTTCACAAGGGACACCAAGAACAAACGTTAAGCAGCGCATGTTTCGTGGTGATTGGCAAATTATCAGGTCACTGCTCCAACTTCCACAAACATCAGCAGCCAACAGCAATAAAAATACAGGTTTTGGTCCCAGGAGCTTAAAAACTATTTTCCAGAGTTCGACTTCATGACAAGATGCTCGCTACGACACCACAGAAGCACCGAGCTGCTTAATTGGAATAACACAGATGCAGTTCAGTTTTTAAGTCAATCAGAACAATAAATATAGAACCGACAGATTTTTGCAAAAATTGCTTAAACTTTTAGCTTTTTTTTTTTTTCCTCATTCTTTAAATGTATTTTTCTCTCTTGCCAGTAAGTAACCCTGAAGAATCCCATTTCTTCTCAGGCAGAGTGGCATTCCTGCCACGAAGTGCCCACAGGCAGCTGCTCTTTGAGTTACCTGGGATTTGTCGTATTCAACTCTTTCAGCACGAGGAAAAAACTCAAGGCATACAAATTTCATTCAGATCCCCATCTGATAGCGGAACCAGCGTACTTACAGGATGGCTATCTCAAACCTCAACATCTCCCTGACAATGATATCAAGAAAAAACTCCAGGGGTTTTGTTAATAGAGAGGAACTTCAAACACTCTCGATTCCTGAATTTAAGCAGCCAGTAATCCTATAGGGCTGATTTTTCTGTAGCTGCTGAGAGCAGATACCAAAGAGTTGCTTCCCAAAACACTCACAAATGATACTGATGCCCTTTTTATGCTTTTTTTTTTTTTTTTTAATACTTGCTTGAAAAACAAGAGCAGCCAGTGAACGGGCAGCCCTTCCCAGTACCCTGCATGCCACATCCCACCCCAGTGCTGCCATCACCCACACTGGACATGGCACAGCCAAGGGGACAAGGGACGGTGATCAGGCACTGCAGCAAGGCTCACACACAGCTGGCAGAAAGTCATCGCTCAGACGGAGAGGAAAATAACATCTTATTTACTGCCTCTCCTGAGACCTCGCTGAGGGCTGCGCTCCCGGCTGCCAAATGCAGCCCCGAGCATCATCACAGGCTCCTCACCTCGCTACCAGCACGGCCATCCCCAAGGGCAGCAGGAGGACGGATCCCTCCTGCCTCAGGCTGTGGCAGCCCAAGGATGCTTGCTGCAGGCACCAGCTGCGGGGCTGGCTCAGCATCGGGCTGCGATGGCCGGGGCCACATCGCCTCGCCCCTGGCAAGCGCCCTTAGGGATGGGAGAGAAGCCCCCAGGAGCTGCTGCCCCGCAGTGCTGCCAAGAGAGCCAGTGCTTTTAAAAGGGACCCTGCCTCCCCGCTTCACGTTCCTGCTGAAAACATCTGGTCCGCTTGGCACCTATGCTCCAGTAAATATAGCACACCATCTTGCTCGCGGGCACGGTGCCACCGCGACAGATGGATATGAGCACAGGCAGCCAAGAGACCTTGTATCAGCATCAAGTGTGTTTGCTAAGGGCAGGATTCGCAGCCAGAAATGTCAGAATGGCTGAGTCTCCGTGCCTACAGATACCAGGGAAGCGAGACTGTGCTGAACCAGCTCTGGGCAGGATTAACTTCGAGACAAGGTGAGTGGGGGGAAGCTAATTTCTGTGGTTCTGGAGCATAAGTTTCTGGTTGTGCGGGGATGGATTAGCTTCTGGCTCAGGGATGTTGCTGTGGCTTCATCCCTCTTCCAGGAGGGAGAGCCCACAAAGATGTGGTACCTGGCCCTGAGCATCCTCCTCATGCCCAGCATCGCTGACAAGTGATGGACCCGGCCATTATATTTGGGGATGATCAGAGAAACAAACATGTTCTGCACATAATCTCCCCTCTCAAATCCCACATGCACTTCTTGTGGGAAAGCTCAGCCGGTCACTTGCAGCGGGGCAGAACGACATGGTACCAACAATTCAGGGAGCTTGCTGGAAACTAGGAGCAGGACAGAGAGTTTTCCACCCCACCCACGTTATATCTTGCTTTGCTCTTTCTTCAGCTGGTACTTCATGAAAAAAAAATAAAATAAAAGCAACACACACCCTGAATGAGAAAGGAAGGAGAGTTGGCAAGAACCAGCATGTCTGCACTTGCTTTAAATTTTTGTATTTATTAAAATACTCTGGAAGTCTCCTGCATTCCAGCAGCCTCTGGAACAGCACTGAAATAAGTTACATATTAGGAAATGCTCCACTTCCAGCAGCCCTGGACAAACGCAGCTCCTGAAGGGACCGGCCAGGATGGGCACAGGATAAGGGGCTGTACCTCACATCACCCAAAGCACCCGCATTCCCCAAGGGAGCTCTGCAGTTTGAGCCCTTTTTGCCAAAGCAGGAGCCAGCCACAAGGTGCCTTGAGCCCAGGCACAAGAGTGCTTTAAGATGTCTTTCTTGTTGTTTTGAAAAAAAGATTAACTTCGTCAATGTGTGAAACCGGCACACAGATCCCCCTGGAGTCACTGGGAGCTTTTCCACATCAGGTCAAAGCCAGAAGCCCATTAAGGCTGATGGAAATCTTTCCTTTGGGTTTTATGGGATCTTTTGGTCCCAGCCAAGCTGTGTCACTAAACTTAAGCCAGGCTTGGTGCTGGTGCCTATCACTGCTATCTTCCAGCCTGCCTAAAAACTGTGAACTCTTCAGTCTCCCCTGCCTCAACCTCCTCCACATTCAGAAGCAGGGTTTGTCAGAAAAGGGACAGGGAGGGGAAAATGACAGTAACTGGGATGCTGAACCTCCAGGCCCCAAAAAGCCCCTGGAGTGCTCAGCTGATGCCCAGACCACAGCATGCCCAGGGGAAAGTCACAGAAGGAGCACAGCCACCTTCATCCTTCCAGAGAGTGCTGCTCTGCCCTGTGCTCCACGAGAAGCATGGACTTCTGTCAGCTTCTCTCTTTGGGGGCTGAACTTTGCATTGGAGCAGGATGGAGAGCGGAAACTTGCTCATGTTTTCCATAAAGAGCTAGATTTAGATGAAAACAGACATTAAAAATAATAAAGAAAAAAAGTTATTTAGGAAGAAATCCAAAGTGAACCTGAGGAATGCAATGAAGGTTCACACAAGAAAAGAGTAGAAAAGAGCAGACAATTGCCCAAGCAGGGAGGAGAAAAGAAGGATAGGGGCAGTATCCTTGCAAGTACTGTATGAGGAAATATTTTGCGCAGGAGCAGGGTAAGAATGTCACTACCTGAGCAATAGGGTTGCTCAAGAGCCTCCAATTTGCCATAGGCACCTTTTTTAAAAGACCTCTACTATGGGAAATGTGGACCCAGCATTGACTTTAGGAGTTTGGGAGACAAAACAGAGAGCAAACAAAATGGCTTGGCCATAGGTACAATAGGATGTGTACCTTTAACCTTTCATATCAGGGGTAAAAATGTAGGCCTGTGGGTCCAGATAACTGAATTTCCTAAATGCACACAGCTGGTTTCTATACATCCCACAGCTCTAGCTGACTACCAAAACACTCTGAGTATCATGAAGTGCCACAAGACAGAGGAAACACATGTCCAATAGCTGTGCCCTGCTACGAGGGCTGGCTTCCTTTATCCCCCTGCAATTACTTGCACACAGCTCCATCCTACTCAGCAGCTTTGTAGTGTCCAGACTTTGGAGATTTACCTCTTCCATTTACTTTCTTTTTTTAGTTCTGAATATTAAAGCCTCTGAGATAAAAAGAGGCTGGGGAGAAAAAAGGAAAAAAAAAAAAAAAAAAGTAGTCTTCACCCAGGAGGTATGAGGAAGAGAAATAAAAGGACACCAGAAAAAAAAAAAAAAAAAAAAAAATCTCAGTATACCTTCTTTGCATCCTTTATTTTCCCTAAGATGCACAGAAACCAGTAAGCAGTGAGCCAGAAATCCCTGGTCCCAGGACACACTTCCACAAAGCATCAGAAGTCATCGGTGGTGCTCCCAGCCCCAACAAATTGGGAGCATGCAGCAAAGAGCGAGGATTTGTTATTGATTGCCAAAATAGACCCAAACGTGCTAGGTGGTTAAAATAATAAT